GATCTGCTTAGTCGAGAAGGTCTTTTACCTAGCAGAAAGTTTCGGAAATGGCTAAAGATTGACGTGAGACATGTGAATCAAGCTGATGTGAGTGTTGCAGTTGCTGTTCAAGCGGAAATTCGTGCTAAGATGTTCGAGAAGAAGAGCACAAAAACGTAAGAAGATAAGACGACAGAGAGGTGGTGACGGCGGTGTATGAAGGTAATAGAAAGCATGATGCTGACGGTGAATTTGATTCTGTTGAAGCTTTGAAAGGGGAGTAGAGTGAACAGGAAGACAGCAGTACGATCTGCAGTGAGTGTGGCGATAGGAGATCTGCTGCTGAAGCCCGATGTTATGGGTAAATTGTTGAAAGAGGAGGATATTCGTCATCGGACGGAAGAAATTTACTGCCGTGCACCAGGAAAGTACATTCTTCGTATACTACTTATCCGGAGGGGCGCCGTTCAAAGTGAAATCGACGGTTACCAAGATTTGGGGAATGCGTCTACAGTCCGGGCAGCGCATCATACATTCCTACCCCCATTCACCCGAACACGCGTGTGCGGGGACAGAGGGGGGTACAACTTCAATGACATTTGGTCTCTTTCATCATTTGTGAAGAATGTCTTGCCCACAACAACAGAAGAATGGGATCAGGTACTGGATGACTACTATCGGGAGTTAACACACAATTCCAAACGCGCGACGTGACACGCACACGCTCAAGCCCAAGTTCATGCACTTAGCACGCACTTTTACGAACTGGAAGAGGCACCCGATCTGAAGTAGCGGAAGCTGAACGATCTTAAAGCTGATTCAGTCGAAAATGGTGGCTGGGAAGTGTCTCCAGCGTCGAGGCGGTCGAGTTTGAGGTTCTGATGGGTTTTTAGCTCCAGACTCTCAAGCTGTACTAAGAACCGTGCGATTTTCCTCCGTGTCGAGAGATGAGTGGGATCTTCTATCAGGCGAGTATTGCAGAGAGTATTGTTATCCCGAAGATCTGCTTAGTCGAGAAGGTCTTTACCTAGCAGAAAGTTTGAAATGGCTAAAGATTGACGTGAGACATGTGAATCAAGCTGATGTGAGTGTTGCAGTTGCTTTTCAAGTGGAAATTGGTGCTAAGATGTTCGAGAAGAAGAGCACAAAAACACAAGAAGATAAGACGACAGAGAGGTGGTGACGGCGGTGTATGAAGGTAATAGAAAGCATGATGCTGACGGTGAATTTGATTCTGTTGAAGCTTTGAAAGGGGGGGTAGAGTGAACAGGAAGACAGCAGTACGATCTGCAGTGAGTGTGGCGATAGGAGATCTGCTGCTGAAGCCCGATGTTATGGGTAAATTGTTGAAAGAGAAGGATATTCGTCATCGGACGGAAGAAATTTACTGCCGTGCACCAGGAAGGTACATTCTTCGTATACTACTTCTATCCGGAGGGAGCCGCCGTTCAAAGTGAAATCGACGGTTACCCAAGATTTGGGAATGCGTCTACAGTCCGGCAGCGCATCATACATTCCCCTACCCCCATTCACCCGAACACGCGTGTGTGGGACAGAGGGGTACAACTTCAATGACATTTGGTCTCTTTTATGATTTGTGAAGAATGTCTTGCCCACAACAACAGAAGAATGGGATCAGGTACTGGATGACTACTATCGGGAGCACACAATTCAAACGCGCGACGTGAACGCACACGCTCAAGCCCAAGTTCATGCACTTAGCACGCACTTTACGAACTGGAAGAGGCACTCGACCTGAAGTAGCGGAAGCTGAACGATCTTAAAGCTGATTCAGTCAAAGTGGTGGCTGGGAAGTGTCTCCAGCGTCGAGGCGGTCGAGTTTGAGGTTCTGATGGGTTTTTAGCTCCAGACTCTCAAGCTGTACTTAAGAACCGTGCGATTTTCCCCGTGCCGAGAGATGAGTGGGATCTTCTATCAGGCGAGTATTGTAGAGAGTATGTTTTCCCGAAAGATCTGCTTAGTCGAGAAGGTCTTTACGCTAGCAGAAAGTTTCGGAAATGGCTAAAGATTGACGTGAGACATGTGAATCAAGCTGATGTGAGTGTTGCAGTTGCTGTTCAAGCGGAAATTCGTGCTAAGATGTTCGAGAAGAAGAGCACAAAAACACAAGGAAGATAAGACGACAGAGAGAGGTGGTGACAGCGGTGTATGAAGGTAATAGAAAGCATGATGCTGACGGTGAATTTGATTCTGTTGAAGCTTTGAAAGGGGAGTAGAGTGGACAGGAAGACAGCAGTACGATCTGCAGTGAGTGTGGCGATAGGAGATCTGCTGCTGAAGCCCGATGTTATGGGTAAATTGTTGAAAGAGAAGGATATTCGTCATCGGACGGGAAGAAATTTACTGCCGTGCACCAGGAAGGTACATTCTTCGTATACTACTCTTCCGGAGGGGGCGCCGTTCAAAGTGAAATCGATGGTCACCAAGATTTGGGAATGCGTCTACAGTCCAACAGCGCATCATACATTCCCTACCCCCATTCCCCGAACACGCGTGTGTGCGGGGACAGAGGGGTACAACTTCAATGACATTTGGTCTCTTTTTTTATTTGTGAAGAGTGTCTTGCCCACAACAACAGAAGAATGGGATCAGGTACGATGACTACTATCGGGAGCACACAATTCCAAACGCGCGACGTGACACGCACACGCTCAAGCCCAAGTTCATGCACTTAGCACGCACTTTACGAACTGGAAGAGGCACTCGATCTGAAGTAGCGGAAGCGGAACGATCTTAAAGCTGATTCAGTCGAAAATGGTGGCTGGGAAGTGTCTCCAGCGTCGAGGCGGTCGAGTTTGAGGTCCTGATGGGTTTTTAGCTCCAGACTCTCAAGCTGTACTAAGAACCGTGCAAGATTTTCCCCGTGTCGAGAGATGAGTGGGATCGTCTATCAGGCGAGTATTGTAGAGAGTATGTTATCCCGAAAGATCTGCTTAGTCGAGAAGGTCTTTTACTTAGCAGAAAGTTTCGGAAATGGCTAAAGATTGACGTGAGACATGTGAATCAAGCTGATGTGAGTGTTGCAGTTGCTGTTCAGCGGGAAATTCGTGCTAAGATGTTCGAGAAGAAGAGCACAAAAACACAAGAAGATAAGACGACAGAGAGGTGGTGACGGCGGTGTATGAAGGTAATAGAAAGCATGATGCTGACGGTGAATTTGATTCTGTTGAAGCTTTGAAAGGGGAGTAGAGTGAACAGGAAGACAGCAGTACGATCTGCAGTGAGTGTGGCGATAGGAGATCTGCTGCTGAAGCCCGATGTTATGGGTAAATTGTTGAAAGAGAAGGATATCTTCGTCATCGGACGGAAGAAATTTACTGCCGTGCACCAGGAAGGTACATTTCTTCGTATACTACTCTATCCGGAGGCGCCGTTCAAAGTGAAATCGACGGTCACCAAGATTTGGGAATGCGTCTACAGTCCAACAGCGCATCATACATTCCCTACCCCCATTCACCCGAACACGCGTGCGGGACAGAGGGGGCACAACTTCAATGACATTTGGTCTCTTTTTTATTATTTGTGAAGAGTGTCTTGCCCACAACAACAGAAGAATGGGATCAGGTACTGGATGACTACTATCGGGAGCACACAATTCCAAACGCGCGACGTGACACGCACACGCTCAAGCCCAAGTTCATGCACTTAGCACGCACTTTACGAACTGGAAGAGGCACCCGATCTGAAGTAGCGGAAGCTGAACGATCTTAAAGCTGATTCAGTCGAAAATGGTGGCTGGGAAGTGTCTCCAGCGTCGAGGCGGTCAAGTTTGAGGTTCTGATGGGTTTTTTTAGCTCCAGACTCTCAAGCTGTACTAAGAACCGTGCGATTTTCCCGTGTCGAGAGATGAGTGGGATCTTCTATCAGGCGAGTATTGCAGAGAGTATGTTATCCCGAAAGATCTGTTTTAGTCGAGAAGGTCTTTTTACTAGCAGAAAGTTTCGGAAAATGGCTAAAGATTGACGTGAGACATGTGAATCAAGCTGATGTGAGTGTTGCAGTTGCTGTTCAAGCGGAAATTCGTGCTAAGATGTTCGAGAAGAAGAGCACAAAAAACACAAGAAGATAAGACGACAGAGAGGTGGTGACGGCGGTGTATGAAGGTAATAGAAAGCATGATGCTGACGGTGAATTTGATTCTGTTGAAGCTTTGAAAGGGGGAATAGAGTGAACAGGAAGACAGCAGTACGATCTGCAGTGAGTGTGGCGATAGGAGATCTGCTGCTGAAGCCCGATGTTATGGGTAAATTGTTGAAAGAGAAGGATATTCGTCATCGGACGGAAGAAATTTACTGCCGTGCACCAGGAAGGTACATTCTTCGTATACTACTCTATCCGGAGGGGCGCCGTTCAAAGTGAATCGACGGTCACCAAGATTTGGGAATGCGTCTACAGTCCAACAGCGCATCATACATTCCCTACCCCATTCCACCCGAACACGCGTGGTGTGGGACAGAGGGGTACAACTTCAATGACATTTGGTCTCTTTCATCATTTGTGAAGAATGTCTTGCCCACAACAACAGAAGAATGGGATCAGGTACTGGATGACTACTATCGGGAGCACACAATTCCAAACGCGCGACGTGACACGCACACGCTCAAGCCCAAGTTCATGCACTTAGCACGCACTTTACGAACTGGAAGAGGCACTCGATCTGAAGTAGCGGAAGCTGAACGATCTTAAAGCTGATTCAGTCGAAAATGGTGGCTGGAAGTGTCTCCAGCGTCGAGGCGGTCGAGTTTGGAGGTTCTGATGGGTTTTTAGCTCCAGACTCTCAAGCTGTACTAAGAACCGTGCGATTTTCCCCGTGTCGAGAGATGAGTGGGATCTTCTATCAGGCGAGTATTGTAGAGAGTATGTTATCCCGAAAGATCTGCTAGTCGAGAAGGTCTTTACCAAGCAGAAAGTTTCGGAAATGGCTAAAGATTGACGTGAGACATGTGAATCAAGCTGATGTGAGTGTTGCAGTTGCTGTTCAAGCGGAAATTGGTGCTAAGATGTTCGAGAAGAAGAGCACAAAAACGCAAGAAGATAAGACGACAGAGACGGTGGTGACGGCGGTGTATGAAGGTAATAGAAAGCATGATGCTGACGGTGAATTTGATTCTGTTGAAGCTTTGAAAGGGGAGTAGAGTGAACAGGAAGACAGCAGTACGATCTGCAGTGAGTGTGGCGACAGGAGATCTGCTGCTGAAGCCCGATGTTATGGGTAAATTGTTGAAAGAGAAGGATATTCGTCATCGGACGGAAGAAATTTACTGCCGTGCACCAGGAAGGTACATTCTTCGTATACTACTTATCCGGAGGGGCGCCGTTCAAAGTGAAATCGACGGTCACCAAGATTTGGGAATGCGTCTACAGTCCAACAGCGCATCATACATCCCCTACCCCCATTCCTTCGAACACGCGTGTGCGGGACAGAGGGGTACAACTTCAATGACATTTGGTCTCTTTTATTATTTGTGAAGAATGTCTTGCCCATAACAACAGAAGAATGGGATCAGGTACTGGATGACTACTATCGGGAGCACACAATTCCAAACGCGCGACGTGACACGCACACGCTCAAGCCCAAGTTCATGCACTTAGCACGCACTTTACGAACTGGAAGAGGCACTCGATCTGAAGTAGCGGAAGCTGAACGATCTTAAAGCTGATTCAGTCGAAAATGGTGGCTGGGAAGTGTCTCCAGCGTCGAGGCGGTCAAGTTTGAGGTTCTGATGGGCTTTTAGCTCCAGACTCTCAAGCTGTACTAAGAAACCGTGCGATTTTCCCCCGTGTCGAGAGATGAGTGGGATCTTCTATCAGGCGAGTATTGCAGAGAGTATGTTATCCCGAAAGATCTGCTTAGTCGAGAAGGTCTTTTACTAAGCAGAAAGTTTCGGAAATGGCTAAAGATTGACGTGAGACATGTGAATCAAGCTGATGTGAGTGTTGCAGTTGCTGTTCAAGCGGAAATTGGTGCTAAGATGTTCGAGAAGAAGAGCACAAAAACACAAGAAGATAAGACGACAGAGAGGTGGTGACGGCGGTGTATGAAGGTAATAGAAAGCATGATGCTGACGGTGAATTTGATTCTGTTGAAGCTTTGAAAGGGGAGTAGAGTGAACAGGAAGACAGCAGTACGATCTGCAATGAGTGTGGCGATAGGAGATCTGCTGCTGAAGCCCGATGTTATGGGTAAATTGTTGAAAGAGAAGGATATTCGTCATCGGACGGAAGAAATTTACTGCCGTGCACCAGGAAGGTACATTCTTCGTATACTACTTATCCGGAGGGGCGCCGTTCAAAGTGAAATCGACGGTCACCAAGATTTGGGAATGCGTCTACAGTTCAACAGCGCATCATACATTCCCTACCCCCATTCACCCGAACACGCGCGTGCGGGACAGAGGGGTACAACTTCAATGACATTTGGTCCCTTTCATCATTTGTGAAGAGTCTCTTGCCCACAACAACAGAAGAATGGGATCAGGTACTGGATGACTACTATCGGGAGCACACAATTCCAAACGCGCGACGTGACACGCACACGCTCAAGCCCAAGTTCATGCACTTAGCACGCACTTTACGAACTGGAAGAGGCACTCGATCTGAAGTAGCGGAAGCTGAACGATCTTAAAGCTGATTCAGTCGAAAATGGTGGCTGGGAAGTGTCTCCAACGTCGAGGCGGTCGAGTTTGAGGTTCTGATGGGTTTTTAGCTCCAGACTCTCAAGCTGTACTAAGAACCGTGCGATTTTCCCCGTGTCGAGAGATGAGTGGGATCTTCTATCAGGCGAGTATTGTAGAGAGTATGTTATCCCGAAAGATCTGCTTAGTCGAGAAGGTCTTTTACTAAGCAGAAAGTTTCGGAAATGGCTAAAGATTGACGTGAGACATGTGAATCAAGCTGATGTGAGTGTTGCAGTTGCTGTTCAAGCGGAAATTCGTGCTAAGATGTTCGAGAAGAAGAGCACAAAAACACAAGAAGATAAGACGACAGAGAGGTGGTGACGGCGGTGTATGAAGGTAATAGAAAGCATGATGCTGACGGTGAATTTGATTCTGTTGAAGCTTTGAAAGGGGAGTAGAGTGAACAGGAAGACAGCAGTACGATCTGCAGTGAGTGTGGCGATAGGAGATCTGCTGCTGAAGCCCGATGTTATGGGTAAATTGTTGAAAGAGAAGGATATTCGTCATCGGACGGAAGAAATTTACTGCCGTGCACCAGGAAGGTACATTCTTCGTATACTACTCTTCCGGAGGGGCGCCGTTCAAAGTGAAATCGACGGTCAACCAAGATTTGGGAATGCGTCTACAGTCCGGCAGCGCATCATACATTCCCTACCTCCCATTCACCCGAACACGCGTGTGTGGGACAGAGGGGTACAACTTCAATGACATTTGGTCCTCTTTCATCATTTGTGAAGAGTGTCTTGCCCACAACAACAGAAGAATGGGATCAGGTACTGGATGACTACTATCGGGAGCACACAATTCCAAACGCGCGACGTGACACGCACACGCTCAAGCCCAAGTTCATGCACTTAGCACGCACTTTACGAACTGGAAGAGGCACTCGATCTGAAGTAGCGGAAGCTGAACGATCTTAAAGCTGATTCAGTCGAAAATGGTGGCTGGGAAGTGTCTCCAACGTCGAGGCGGTCAAGTTTGAGGTTCTGATGGGTTTTTAGCTCCAGACTCTCAAGCTGTACTAAGAACCGTGCGATTTTCCCCGTGTCGAGAGATGAGTGGGATCTTCTATCAGGCGAGTATTGTAGAGAGTATGTTATCCCGAAAAGATCTGCTTAGTCGAGAAGGTCTTTTACTAAGCAGAAAGTTTCGGAAATGGCTAAAGATTGACGTGAGACATGTGAATCAAGCTGATGTGAGTGTTGCAGTTGCTGTTCAAGCGGAAATTGGTGCTAAGATGTTCGAGAAGAAGAGCACAAAAACACAAGAAGATAAGACGACAGAGAGGTGGTGACAGCGGTGTATGAAGGTAATAGAAAGCATGATGCTGACGGTGAATTTGATTCTGTTGAAGCTTTGAAAGGGGAATAGAGTGGACAGGAAGACAGCAGTACGATCTGCAGTGAGTGTGGCGATAGGAGATCTGCTGCTGAAGCCCGATGTTATGGGTAAATTGTTGAAAGAGAAGGATGTTCGTCATCGGACGGAAGAAATTTACTGCCGTGCACCAGGAAGGTACATTCTTCGTATACTACTCTTCCGGAGGGGCGCCGTTCAAAGTGAAATCGACGGTCACCAAGATTTGGGAATGCGTCTACAGTCCAACAGCGCATCATACATTCCCTACCCCATTCACCCGAACACGGGCGTGTGGGGACAGAGGGGTACAACTTCAATGACATTTGGTCTCTTTCATCATTTGTGAAGAGTGTCTTGCCCACAACAACAGAAGAATGGGATCAGGTACTGGATGACTACTATCGGGAGCACACAATTCCAAACGCGCGACGTGACACGCACACGCTCAAGCCCAAGTTCATGCACTTAGCACGCACTTTACGAACTGGAAGAGGCACTCGATCTGAAGTAGCGGAAGCTGAACGATCTTAAAGCTGATTCAGTCGAAAATGGTGGCTGGGAAGTGTCTCCAACGTCGAGGCGGTCAAGTTTGAGGGTTCTGATGGGTTTTTAGCTCCAGACTCTCAAGCTGTACTAAGAACCGTGCGATTTCCCCCCGTGTCGAGAGATGAGTGGGATCTTCTATCAGGCGAGTATTGCAGAGAGTATGTTATCCCGAAAGATCTGCTTAGTCGAGAAGGTCTTTTACTAAGCAGAAAGTTTCGGGAAATGGCTAAAGATTGACGTGAGACATGTGAATCAAGCTGATGTGAGTGTTGCAGTTGCTGTTCAAGCGGAAATTGGTGCTAAGATGTTCGAGAAGAAGAGCACAAAAACACAAGAAGATAAGACGACAGAGAGGTGGTGACGGCGGTGTATGAAGGTAATAGAAAGCATGCTGCTGACGGTGAATTTGATTCTGTTGAAGCTTTGAAAGGGGAGTAGAGTGAACAGGAAGACAGCAGTACGATCTGCAGTGAGTGTGGCGATAGGAGATCTGCTGCTGAAGCCCGATGTTATGGGTAAATTGTTGAAAGAGAAGGATATTCGTCATCGGACGGAAGAAATTTACTGCCGTGCACCAGGAAGGTACATTCTTCGTATACTACTCTATCCGGAGGGGCGCCGTTCAAAGTGAAATCGACGGTCACCAAGATTTGGGAATGCGTCTACAGTCCGGCAGCGCATCATACATTCCCTACCCCCATTCACCCGAACACGCGTGCGGGACAGAGGGGTACAACTTCAATGACATTTGGTCTCTTTCATCATTTGTGAAGAGTGTCTTGCCCACAACAACAGAAGAATGGGATCAGGTACTGGATGACTACTATCGGGAGCACACAATTCCAAACGCGCGACGTGACACGCACACGCTCAAGCCCAAGTTCATGCACTTAGCACGCACTTTACGAACTGGAAGAGGCACTCGATCTGAAGTAGCGGAAGCTGAACGATCTTAAAGCTGATTCAGTCGAAAATGGTGGCTGGGAAGTGTCTCCAACGTCGAGGCGGTCAAGTTTGAGGTTCTGATGGGTTTTTAGCTCCAGACTCTCAAGCTGTACTAAGAACCGTGCGATTTTCCCCCGTGTCGAGAGATGAGTGGGATCTTCTATCAGGCGAGTATTGCAGAGAGTATGTTATCCCGAAAGATCTGCTTAGTCGAGAAGGTCTTTTACTAAGCAGAAAGTTTCGGAAATGGCTAAAGATTGACGTGAGACATGTGAATCAAGCTGATGTGAGTGTTGCAGTTGCTGTTCAAGCGGAAATTGGTGCTAAGATGTTCGAGAAGAAGAGCACAAAAACACAAGAAGATAAGACGACAGAGAGGTGGTGACGGCGGTGTATGAAGGTAATAGAAAGCATGATGCTGACGGTGAATTTGATTCTGTTGAAGCTTTGAAAGGGGAGTAGAGTGAACAGGAAGACAGCAGTACGATCTGCAGTGAGTGTGGCGATAGGAGATCTGCTGCTGAAGCCCGATGTTATGGGTAAATTGTTGAAAGAGAAGGATATTCGTCATCGGACGGAAGAAATTTACTGCCGTGCACCAGGAAGGT